GTCAGTTTGGCTTCTTTTTTCACCTTGAGATTCCAAAGAGTTTATAAACTTTGTCACAGTATGAGTGTATATTTTCCCCTTTGGCACATGTCTACTTTCCTTTGGCCTTATGATCACTGTCTTAACTTTCCGTCATGTTTGTTCTTAGATAGAATGGAGGTGCTATTAGGAAAACCATTCCATCCATCGCCCTAGGGTTATTAATTGTGTTGGGATCAAACCAAACAGTTGTATTGCATTTTTAACTAACAAACATACAAAAGACACAGAGTTTGCAAGCTTTGTGATAGTTGATTAAAAGTCCTTTGACCAGTATCTGGCCACTTGGAGTGCCTCTGGTGTTGCTGCAAGGAGGTCCCCCATTGTGCATGTAGCAGGGCTCAGGTTGTATTGCAGCAGGTGGTCTGTAGTTTGCTCTTCTCCACACTTGCATGTCGTGGATTCCACTTTGTGGCCCCATTTCTTAAGGTTGGCTCTGCATCGCGTGGTGCCAGAGCGCAGTCTGTTCAGCGCCTTCCAAGTCGCCCAGTCTTCTGTGTGCCCAGGAGTCTCTCATTTGGTATCAGCCAATGATTGAGGTTCTGGGTTTGAGCCTGCCACTTTTGGACTCTCGCTTGCTGAGGTGTTCCAGCGAGTGTCTCTGTAGATCTTAGAAAACTATTTCTTGATTTAAGTCGTTGACGTGCTGGCTGATACCCAAACAAGGGATGAGCTGGAGATGTCACTGCCTTTGTCCTTTCACTATTGGCTGCTACTTCCCGGCGGATGTCAGGTGGTGCAATACCGTGTAATTTCTCCAGTGGTATGGTGCGCAGACACCCTGTGATAATATGGCATGTCTCATTAAGAGCCACATCCACTGTTTTAGTGTGGTGAGATGTGTTCCACACTGGGGCATACTCAGCAGCAGAGTAGCATAGCGCAAGGGCAGATGTCTTCACTGTGTCTGGTTGTGATCCCCAGGTTGTGCCAGTCAGCTTTCTTATGATATTGTTTCTAGCGCCCACTTTTTGCTTGATATTCAGGCAGTGCTTCTTGTAGGTCAGAGCACGGTCCAGAGTGACTCCCAGGTATTTGGGTGTGCTGCAATATTATACTATACTATACTATACTATACTATACTATACTATACTATACTATAAATCTATACTATAGATTTAATGCAACCTGACAGCACTTTAACCTCCATGGCTCACTTCTATGGAATCATGAGACCTATCATTTTATAAGCTCTTTGGTCTTCTCCACCAGACTGTTAATCCCAGGAATCCATAGCATTTCAAGTAATGTCAAGCTATATGAATTCTACAAATGCACCTTAACAGTCATATCTGATTGGGAAATTAAAGCCTTATTATATCTGTATTGGACCATTTTTGTAGGCCGCCTCATTCCAAAGATGCCGACATCCATAATGTTTAATTATACCCAGTGTGAATGTGCTCAAGGAGTTTTTCAATCATATATGGCTAAACCCGGCCATGCTTTGCTGTGGCTCAGTCTGATATGAAATGAATGTGAAAGTAAAGTATTGTTGCGAACATAGATTCACCGAGGAAACACATCATTCAATTCAATACCCTGCCGTGCGTTGCTGTGTCTACGTGGAATGAAAGGAGAGGAAAGAAAAGGAGGGTTTTTTTTTTTACCAGAAATCATTTTTTATTGTAAAGCTAGTGGATTGACTACATTTTGGTTTGCCCATTTTCTGCATAAACATAAAGATCTGACAGCTTACCAACTCTTGAGCATGCGATGTCTTATTGCCGATGAGAGAAGCAATTGTTTTCTAAATTCAAACCGCACACTTGCAAAAATTTCCCCTGCACTTTATTGATAGTCATAGTGAGTGCAAGGCATATTGGAAATAGAAGTCGTTTGAACTCAAACGCCATATTGGTCGTTTATGAGGTCCATTCAGAATTGTTGCTTTAATTGGATTGTTCATCAATTTTTTAACTAATTGTGTGCCATTGCATAACTTCGGCCAAGGTACTGCAAATCACATCATCCATGGTCCAACCTCCATCTTGGCACCAGGACATGAAGTGGGTCATGGGGGGGGGGGGGTCTGTGTCAAGTTTAGTACTGATCTGCCATTGATCTAAGTTGCAGTGGTCTGTGGGAGCCCAATCGGGGGAAGGAACTGCAAATCCCATCATCTGTGCTCCGTCTTCCCGCAGTCCACACCAGGACGTAAAGTGGGTCATGGGGGGCTCTGTGTGCCAAGTTTGGTCCAGGTCCCTCATTCATGGGGGTCGCAGTGGTCTGCAGGAGGCAATTCAGGTGAAGGTACTGCAAATCCCATCATTCGTGGTCCATCCTCCCCAAACTGCATCAGGATGTAACTCATTCATTGGGGTCGCAGTGGTCTGCAGAAGGCAATTCAGGTGAAGGTACTACAAATACCATCATCCATGGTCCATTCTCCCCAAACTGCACCTGGGCATGAAGTGGGTCATGTGGGAGGAGACGGGTCTGTGTCAAATTTGGTCCTGATCTGCCATTGGTGTGAGTCACAGTGGTCTGTGAGATCCCAATCGGGTGAAGGAACTGCAAATCCCATCATACCTGCTCCGTCTTCCCTCAATCTGCACCAGGATGTAAAGTGGGTCATGGGGGGCTCTGTGTGCCAAGTTTGGTCCAGGTCCCTCATTCATGGGGGTCGCAGTGGTCTGCAGGAGGCAATTCAGGTGAAGGTACTGCAAATCCCATCATCCATGGTCCATCCTCCCCCAAACTGCATGACATAAAGTGGGTCATGGGGGGGGGGGGGCTCTGTGTGCCAAGTTTGGTCCAGATCTCTCATTCATGCGGGTCGCAGTGGTCTGCAGGAGGCAATTCAGGTGAAGGTACTGCAGATCCCATCATCCATGGTCCACCCTCCCCCAAACCGCATTAGGATGTAAAGTGGGTCATGGGGGATTGGAATGCAAGGTTGTGTCAAAATGTCAAGCCAATCGACAGACTACTTTTTGAGTTTTGTGAGCACAAACATACACAGGCTGTGTTTTTATACATAAAGATTAAGGATCGCTTCTCTTTGGGAACCCTTGGTCCTTGAATATTATGTGTCACCAATTCTCTGAAACCAGAGCTTGGAAACGTTCTGATTTGGAATAAAGTGGCTGTGCCAGTGATACTTTCTGGTGGATTGTAAGAGTTGTAGTCCAGTCTAAAAGACATGGTAGCGTTTGTTGACGTTTTCAATGAAGTGCTTCCCATTCTACGCCATACCTCTACAAGTGTAAGTCAGGGTGGAATTACCAAACAGATTTTTCCTAGACATGAGTGGGCATACTTGAACCTTAAAGTGGCACTTTCTGTTCTTCTAGGCACGGTCTCAACCAATTCTTCTCGTGCCGAGGCATCGCTTTGGCGGTACAATATTTCTGGGACCGGGGGCACCGGGAAGTGACCGTCTTAGTCCCTCAGCACCGGATGGAAGAAGACTCCAACGTGAGAGGTAAGAAAAATGGAAGATTTCTGCCCATTTCACAGAGATATTTCCAGGGTGCATCTGCACTGTAGAATTCATGCAGTTTGACCCCACTTTGCCATGCCTCAAAGCTATGGAATCATGGGAATTGTAGTTCTACAAGACCTTTAGTCTTCTCTGTCCAAGAGTGCTGGTGGCTCACCAAACTACAAATTCTAGTATTTCATACCATTGAACCATACTCAGTCTGTTAGAGTAGACTCATACTGAGTAGAGTAGACTCATACTCATACTGTTAGAGTAGACCTGGGCAAACTTGGGCCTTCCAGATGTTTTGGACTTCAACTCCCACAATTTGTAACAGACTCGGTCCCATTCCTTTTCCCTCTCAGCCATTTAAGCATAATCATCATCCGAGCCTCAAACTAGTTCCAAGATTTCATAACTTTCACAGTAAAACTAGTTTGAAACGGCATCAAAAGACCTGCTGGTGGGGGATAATGGGAATTGCAATCATAGAGGGTACTAGCTTGGCTGTCCTTTCCTTCAGCATTATATTATCTAAGTCTGCAATCTTTTGCATGCTTCCCCAGCAAAAGTAATTTTACTGATTTTAGTTCAGCTTGGTTCCAAATAAGAGATTGGGTCTGACAGCTGCAGCTTTAGTAAGAAGTAAAAAATGCGTGAATGAGAAATAGCAACTTCCCGGCTCTGTTGCTGCAATTTTGGTGATGACTCTTGTTGGGGTTTTCCCTCCTTGTCCTCTTCCCAAATGCAGAGAAGCACTACTTGGTCGAGTTACACAAGCTGAGCATCCTCTCTCTCACCCCCTCGCGCAAAATAGACGGGAAAGGCATCGTCCCGTACGATGACAGGTCAGTGAAACCTTTTGCAGACCCAATGGAGGGTTCCTATTTCGACATCTCAAATAGCATTTCTCTCCACCTTTTTGGTCACTAACAGAGCAACCTTGCTTCTATTTGTCGTTAGCCGTCTAATAATAATAATAATAATAATAATAATAATAACAACAACAACAACAACAACAACAACAACAATGCTTAACACACACAAGCCAGTCAAGGTGGTCCCAGTGGTGATCGGCACACTGGGTGCAGTGCCTAAAGACCTTGGTCTGCACTTAAAAACAATCAGCGCTGACAAAATTACCATCTGCCAGCTGCAGAAGGCCACCCTACTGGGATCTGCACGCATTATTCGCCGATACATCACACAGTCCTACACACTTGGGAAGTGTCCGACGTGTGATCCAATACAACAGCCAGCAGAGTGCCTGCTGTGGACTAGTGTCTAGATCTAGGGAAGTAATGCTACCCCTCTATTCTGCTCTGGTTAGACCACACCTGGAATATTGTGTCCAATTCTGGGCACCACAATTCAAGAGAGATATTGACAAGCTGGAATGTGTCCAGAGGAGGGCGACTAAAATGATGAAGGGTCTGGAGAACAAGCCCTATGAGGAGCGGCTTAAGGAGCTGGGCATGTTTAGCCTGAAGAAGAGAAGGCTGAGAGGGGATATGATAGCCATGTATAAATATGTGAGAGGAAGCCACAGGGAGGAGGGAGCAAGCTTGTTTTCTGCTTCCCTGGAGACTAGGACGCGGAACAATGGCTTCAAACTACAGGAGAGGAGATTCCATCTGAACATGAGGAAGAACTTCCTGACTGTGAGAGCCGTTCAGCAGTGGAACTCTCTGCCCCGGAGTGTGGTGGAGGCTCCTTCTTTGGAGGCTTTTAAACAGGCTGGATGGCCATCTGTCGGGGGTGCTTTGAATGCAATTTCCTGCTTCTTGGCAGGGGGTTGGACTGGATGGCCCATGAGGTCTCTTCCAACTCTTTGATTCTATGATTCTGTGATTCTATGACTCCTTGTGTTTCAAATAACAACAACACTTTATTTATTTATTTACTATATTTATATTCTACCCCATATTTCACCCCGAAGGGGACTCAGAGCAGCTTACAAGTTACATGTACATACAATGCATTATCTTATTAGCAGAGCACAATATTGGAATTATATATTACTATATTTTACGGTAAAGATAAAGGTTTCCCCTGACATGAAGTCTAGTCGTGTTCGACTCTGGCAGGTGGTGCTCATCTCGATTTCTAAGCCAAAGAGTTGGCGTTGTCCATAGACACCTTCAAGGTCATGTGGCCAGCATCACTGCATGGCACACTGTTCCCTTCCTGCAGAAGCCATACCTATTGATCTACTTGCATGTTTTCAAACTGCTAAGTTGGCAGAAGCTGGGGCTAACAGTGGGAGGTCACCCCGCTCCCTGCATTTGAACCGCTGACCTTTCAGTCAGCAAGTTCAGCAGCTCAGCAGTTTAACCCACTGCACTAGGAGGCCTCTTACTATATTATTGGTAATATTTTTTCATGTCAGGAGTGACTTGAGAAACTGCAAGTCACTTCTGGTGTGAGAGAATTGGCCATCTGCAAGGACTTTGCCCAGGGGATGCCCAGATGTTTTGGTGTTTTACCATCCTTGTGGGAGGCTTCTCTCAAGTCTCCACATGGAGAGCCGCAGATGACAAAAGGAGCTCATCCATGCTCTCCCCAGATTTGAACCTGCGACCTGTTGGTCTTCAGTCCTGCCCGCAGAAGGGCTTAACCTATTGCGCCATTATAATATATAGTTATTATATTATTATATTGTATTATTATTCGTATTATATTGTATTATTATGATCAATATTATATGTACATACAATATATTATATTACTAGCATAGCACAATATTATTATTATATATTACTATATTTATATTCTACTCTATCTCCCTGAAGGGACTTGGGAGTGGATTACAACATATACAGATAGACAAACATTCAATGCCTTTAATATAGTGGAATAACAATGACACACAAATACACAGAACAAAGATAAAGGCTTCCCCTTTCATCTCCGGCTTTCTGGAGGCAGTGCTCAACTCTGGCCATGGGGAGGTGCTCTTGTTCCATTTCCAAGCTGAGAAGCCTGCTGTCCATAGACACCCCCTGGTTGAGTTGCCAGCATGGTTGTATGGGTGCCTTTATTACCTTCCTGCTGGACTGGTACCTCTTGATCTACTCATATTTGCATGCTTTCAAACTGCTAGATTGGCTGGAACTAGGGCTAACAGCTGGAGCTCACCCCGACCCGCGGATTTGAACTCCCAACCTTTAGATCAGCAGATACAACAGTTCAATGGTTTGAGAAAGAGAGATACACACAGCGCATCTACATTGTCGAATTAATGCAGTTTGGAATCATGATAGTTGGGAGTTCTATAAGAACTCTTCCAAAGAGGGCTGGTGCCTCACCAAACTACAGCTCTCACAATTCCATATCATTGCTCCATGGTAGTTAAAAGTTGCATTAATTCTACAGTGTAGACACACTCATAGGCAGACAGAAAATAGATTTTAGGATTCGCAGGAGGAGAAAGGTTCCTTTTAGCGATGCTCGGAAAGTGGGAATTGGTATTATCTCATGTAGACTGAGAAAACTTGTGGTGGCGGACACTTCCGAAAACGCTTCTTCCGTTTTGATTTTTATCTATTTTGGGGCCAAACTTGGACTGTCCCTGGGATTTCCCCCAGGCTGGGCTTTCCAGTTTGCAAGGCACCGGATACCTTGATGGTTTGATGAGGTCACATGAGCCACAGCTGTGAGCAGAAGCAGGAAATGAATCTGCCAGCAGACGGAGCCCAGGAGGGTGAGGCACACGCATGACTTTTGAGTCATGGTGCTGGGTGGATGCAATGCACAGAGGAACAAAAGCCCATTGTGGTGGACCAGGAGATGGAATGAGAAAGCGCTTCCCTGCAGGAAAATACCCTTGTTGTTCTTGATCATTTTTAAAGCCTATATCCCATCGTTTCTCAACCTGTGGGTCGTGAGAGGGTTTCAGAGGGGTCACCAAAGACCATCAGGAAACACATATTCCTGATGCTCTTAGGAACCCCTTTGGCAGAAAAGGCTGAAGATCTCTCCGCCTGTCCTTCTCTTCCTTTTTGGAAACAGACGGTGACTCTGCTGTGATTGGCCAGCCTCTCAGTCAAAAGCATGGCTGTTTCTGAGACTCCAAGCACAGAGAGGAGAGCGGGTCGTGCATGTGCATGCAAGGGAGAGCGTGCGAAGCTGGAGGGAGGCTCGCGCTAGTGAGTCCCTTCACGCCATGGGGGTTCTATGTGGGAAGTTTGGCCCAATTCTATCATTGGTGACTTTCAGAATGGTCTTTGATTGTAGGTGAACTATAAATCCTAGCAACTACAACTCCCAAATGTCAATGTCTATTTTCCCCAAACTCCCATCAGTGTATTCGTGCCAAGTTTGGTCCAGATCCATCATTGTTTTGAGTCCACAGTGCTCTCTGAATATAGGTGAACTACAACTCGCAAATGTCAAGGTCAATGCCCACCAAACCCTTCCAGTATTTTCTGTTGGTCATGGGAGTTCTGTATGCCAAGTTTGGTTCACTTCCATTGTTAGTTGGGTTCAGAATGCTCTTTGATTGTAGGTTAATTATAAATCCAGGAACTACAACTCCCAAATGTATTTATTTATTTACGACATTTATATGCCGTTCTTCTCACTGAGAACAGGACTCAGAGCGGCTTACAAGAGAGAGAGATATATATATATATATATATACACACACACACACACACATATACACACACATATATATATATATTCATACAATATATTATATAATTAGCATAGCACAATATCAGTATTATATATTACTATATTGTACTATACCATTATATTGTAATACTGTATTAGTAATATTACATGTAATATAAAATATATAATTATAATATCATATTATTAGTAGTATTATATTATTTTAAATTATAATATTATAAATAGCATATGTATATACAATATATTATAATATATTGTATTATTATATTATATTATATTATATTATATTATATTATATTATATTATAATATTATTAGCATAGCACAGGAGGCAAGATGGAACTGTCTTCCTAGCCCCCCTCTCTTAGCTCTGGTCCCAGAGCAGCAGTTGGTACTGGGGGTAGGAGCTCCTCAATTGACAAAATAAATCTTCCAAGCCCACCAGTATTCAAATTTGGGTGTATAGGGTATTTGTGCCAAAATTGGTCCAGTGAAAGAAAATACATCCTGCATATCAGATATTTACATTACGATTCATAACAGTAGCAAAATTACAGGTATGAAGTAGCAACAAAAATAATTTTATAGTTGGGGGTCACCACAACATGAAGAACCGTATTAAGAGGTTGTGGCATTGGGAAGGTTGAGAAACACTGACTTAGAGAAACATTCTCCAGTAATTCCAGACACATTTCTCTGCTTCACAAAGATACGCAAAACTGCAGATAATAGTTAACCCTTTTGAAAGTCCAAGTGTGCCATGGAGTCACGCTGGAGGACCTAGAACAGTACTTCCCAACCTATGGTACATGGACCACCAGTGATCCGCAAGAACTGAAATATGGTCCGTGGCCTCACTGTTACTACACCATTGCAACGAGAGCAACTGGTCTCGCGAAATCCTCATATAGTGCAGAGGCTTATTAAATATGCTTTTCTGTGGCTGAGCAGATGATGACTACTGGATGGCATATTTTCTGTATCAGAAACTAGAGCTGATGTGGTCTAGCCAATGCAATTTTCTGAATCAGCACCCCAGATAACCAAACCAAAACTAAAGTTGACCAAAAACTGATTTGTAACTTTTGGTACTAATGTTGGAGAGTGGTCCCTGGTCAAAGTGGTCCCTGGTCAAAAAAAGGTTGGGAACCACTGACCTAGAACATACCTACAGAAGACATACTTTTCTATGGCATCATATAGTTGGAAAAGAACCCAATGGTCATCCAGTCCAACCTCTGGCTTTCTCAGTGTGGAATATGATCAATAATTACAGATATGTTTCTCCAGGAGGTAGTGTGCCCTATACAGTCATAGTCAACTCTTCTTCTCCAATATGTAATTGGAAAGAAGACAAGGATGTGTCCCATGGAGGGTGGAATCATAAATGTGGACTCATTGAGCACCAATTCTAGAATTCCTTGCAAACTTCTAGGGATGTGCAGATAACAGAATCTCGTGTTTCTTGGTGTTTTGGTTTTTAGGCCTGCTTTTGAGGGGGTTTATTTTTGGATGCTGATTCAGAAAATTGCACTGGATAGACTGCAACAGCTCTTGTTTCTTAGATATGGTTGTTGTGACGTTATGTGGATGAGGAAGGCTCATTTGTGGCATATATCCTGCATCTCAAAAACTAGAGCTGGTGGCATTTTTTTAAATTGGCAGGTCAAATATGTGACAGAATGTAAAATAAACCATGTGTAGTTCACGTTTGATCAGCCGGCATACTACTTTGCCAGGGAAAGAAAATATGCCACGTAAAGAACAAGGAGTTTACTCTTCGTAACGTAGAACAACATATTTACAATTTTGTGATCAGTTGCATGAACTCAAATAGTTTCATTTTGGATAGATTTTAAATTGTATTTCTTTGTCGACGTAGAGAAACTCCTTTCAGCAGCTCATGAAGCAAGAGCATACTCCAAACCCTGTCTCTCTCTGCTTCGCTCTTCAAACTGAACAAAAATGTAACAGTGTCCAAAGCCCCAGGCTCAGCCTGCTCCCCGCATTGGCCGACCAATCAGCTTCATGCATCTTATTTAACAGTTGAGACACACACACTAACTGATTCCTTGCATGCTCCAACAAAATATACCTAGATA